GAAACCTTGAGCCAACCAGGACTTTCGTCTGCACGCTGCGAGGCGTAGCCACCCGAAGGGGCCGTTGGTCAAGGTGAAACTAAACTAAAAATTACCTCGCTTGAGGTGTTGCGTTCTCAGCTAGGCCCTCTCTCAGCTGCAACCCTCAGCACTCGCGAGGCCGAACTTTGCCCTCCGCATGCATTGCTGTTGAGGCACTTGTTGTGGCATCAGCCTCCGTAAGTTTGGCAATCCCCACTCAGCACTGGATGTTCTGTTCGAGGCATATTTCCTCAGCGCATGCGAGGCCGCAAAGTGAAACACGTGAGGTATGAAAACTGCTACTCCAGGTTCGTCCACAGCTCCGGCTTTCTCGCACTTACTAACCGTGCCTTGCAGCCTCCCCCAAAGTAGCGTCACCCTGGCTTTCTCGCTCTTACTCACCAGTTGACCAATAATGCATCTCACGCGGTTGCTTCATGGTAAAACTGCAGCTCGAGGTCCCGGCGTTCTCGCTCTTACTAACCCGGACCGACACTGCAGAGAAGCATTGACTGTTGTTCCCTCAGCGGAGGCGAGGCCGAACAACCATTCCGCTGCATCAGCGCAGCCAGGCCCTCAGCTCCTCACTGAGCCAGGGCTCTCTTTAGACAGAGTTCCCCTGCTGGCAAGCCCTCTATCTCTTTGTGACCCCCGCGGTGCCACGTATAAGCAGCTGCACCGCGTGTCTTAGGACCACAGTTTTCATTCGGATTTGTTGTTGTAGGCCTTCCAGTGCTTGAGGCCGAATCCAAACACCACATCTCACGTCACAAGGCTGGCAATTTGGCTCCAACATCTGAAGATAGTAACACATACTCTGCGTGGCGTCCGCGTGAGCTAGCCTGTCCTTTCTTTAGGAGTTCGGCTCCTTTCATCGCTTGTCTTACCACAGGTCTCTTTCGGTGGCCCGTACTCAGCAGCCAGCACATGTACCATCCTCAGACGCCAGAGCCGCCTTGCCCCAGCAAGTGCCCATACAAACCACTCACCAGATAGTGAGAGCCAACATCTTCAAACAACCTCCAGCGGCCGTGCCGCGAGGACCTAAACATCTGCAAGGTTCCGCCTTGTCTGTGTGCACGGACAGACCCCAGCCCTTGCAGGAGACGTGGATGTAAACAAAAGCAGGCCTGCCATGTCCAGCAGGCTGATTACCATTGGTTGCCTTCAGATGGGAAAAGCGCGAAGATCGGGTAACCTCCATCTGAATCCTTTCCGGCCAATACCAACCCTTACAAACCCTCAGCACGGAGCGAGGCCGAAGGAGGCTTCTTGGACTATTGGTTTTCCGGGGAGCAGCCACCACCAGCTGCTCTTCAACTTGCACTGCGCCGCACCACAGTCCTACTGCAAGTTCCTTGGCAACGGTTTCTCAGTAGCACCAGTCAATGAGCTTTACGACACTGATGCCTCTGGTTATTTATGTCCAGGCAGATCCACCAGGGTTGGGCCAAATCTTTTCTACCTGATTCTACCTGCGAAGAAAATCCTGTTGTGCTCAGCTTGCAGATCCCCGAAAACCTGCAAGCTTGGGCTCGAGCACACCGCAATTGTTCGGGACACTCCTGTCGCCACTGCAAGGATGCCTCTTGCAGTGCGACGTTGGCCTGCACTGTCTGCAGCGTGCCTGGCCGTTTCCCCCGTGTTTCGGTCTCACCTTCGTTTTCCACACAAGTGAGCGAGGAACCCAAACTCACCTTCAGCACAGCCCTCAATCCAAATGAGGGTCGGTGGGTTTTGCTCACCCAGAGACAGCAGGAATCTCTGGTGAGCAACAGGCTTGCGTCACCCCTCAAGCAATGCGAGGCTGCAACTCTCACTGTGACCCAGAGCAGACTGTAGGCCACAAGGTTCCCTCAGCAACGCGAGGACGAAAAGCTTCCCTCTAGCGAAGCGAGGCCGAAAACTGTGCACTCACGCCCTTCGTCGACGGCAGCAGTTGGCGGGCCGCCGCTCTATGACAGCTTAGCCGGTCAGCCGGCCTACGAGCAAACACAGTTTTGTCAGGCCTCAAAACGGAACCTACCCTTAGTTACAAGCCCCAGGGCCAGCCACAACGGCACTAAAGACGCTCTCTACCTGAGCACCCCACCGGGGTTGAGCCGAAACCTTGAGCCAGAACTACGGCAACCAGGACTTTCACTCGAAAGCGGGCTGCGTCGCTAGCCAGGTTAGGCTCTTCGGAACCGAAGTTCCGGAAGGTATTAACTATGCACAGAAAAGGAAAAACTCTCGAGGTGTCCTTGGCCTGCTTAACACGGCCGAACTATGTGCAGGGAACACCGAGAGAAAGCAATGAGGGCTTAACCAGTTCCGCGAGAAGCTCGGCGGCCTACGGCTACTCACTGGTTTGGCTCTATACAAAGCCCTAGGCAAATGTTCTGCAGGTTGAACTGCCTGGTCTGTACTGCCTACCCTATAAGCCCTGCCTGTACAGGGGAGAAACTCACCCACATTCGGCTCACTCAGAAAAGGCAGAAGGTCCGGAACCGACACATGGGCAAAGCCTGTACAAACTGCAAACAAGTGGAAGGCAAAAGTCGCCAACCTCCGGAGCAGGCCTAAGCTTTCTCGCACTTACTAACCTAGGCCCCAGAAACTCATGCCGCAGCAGCACTGAGCTCCTGTTTGCCCCGTATGCTGACCTGGTTTTCTCGCACTTACTCACCAGGGAGGAAGAACCAGCTTTCTCGCTCTTACTCACTGGTTCAACCTCAGCGGCTCCAGAGGAGCCCACACCACTTGCACGCAGGGAGGGCTTGGTTGATTTGGGCATCTCAGCTGGGCAGGCTTTCGGGCACCGAGCCACAGCCTTTAACCTCCGCAATCTGGTGCCTCAGGCTGTCCGTCAGCCTAGGTTTTGGTCCCTACCAAACAACGCCTGCCGCTAGGCTTCCTCCAGGATGGGCTTGCACCACCCGGAGAGAAACAACAGCACCCTACAGGAAACTCAAAGGAAATCCTCGGCAGGCCAAACACGGGTAACCCCAAACTGATGCCGGGCAGCATGCCCTCGGCCACAACCGACCGGTAAGTACTAGGATCCTCGTCCGTTCCCCAACATCTCAGCGCGCTCCCTCCCCTCATCAACCAGTGAGGATCTTCAGGGTCCGGTTCTAACGTTATCCTTTCGGGCGCTGTGTTTGCGAGAACCCCGTGTTGGGCCTGTGGAAGACCCGCAAGCTCCTGAGCCCGAAAACCCGGCCCAGCGGTCTGCTCTACAGACCGAACAAGGGGGCCAAACCGGTGTCAGGCTGTACTAAAGCCACATCAAGGCGGCTTGTCCTGCAGGGTGACCAACGGAACGACTGCGAATACTCCGATGGATGGATCTGGGTATGTGCCGGGACTGAGCACTTGCTTGCTTGCATTCTTACACCTGCAACCTTATGCGATCAAATCATGATCCAATTCTATGCAAGATTCTCTTTGGTGCCCTGAGGCACTCACAATTTGGAAACGGACTCGAAAGACCGTCACTGATTGAAACGGGGAGAAGCCTCACCCTGAATGGATTCCGGAGGGGATAGTCTCGCCCTTGATTCTGGCAGGGCAAAGCTCCTGCAATTTGGGTGGGTTGGGGCTGAAGTAGGTCAGACCTCCCATGGGATGTCTTCCAAATCATCAAAGCCACACACTTGCCAATCACTGCTGCATGCTTCTTCTGGGGAGTCTGGATCCTGAGAACACCCTTCCACAAGGAAAGTCCAGCCATGTGCGCTGGCTGCAGAAGACAGCGGAACCAGCGAAGGCTGTGCGGGCTGCATAACTTGGTGACCTAACTGACGCAAGTCAGCAAGGGAAGCGTCGTCCAGGAACACCGGTCTCCTAACTGCTTGGTCAAAACTCGGCCAGCTCCACGTGCAAGCTAGAAAGTTTTCTAGACAAAGGGCACAGTGGAGCTCGATGCGTCTTCCATCCTCTCCGTGCAAGATCGCTGGTTGCCTTTTCCCAGGACCTGGCACAAAACTGAGGTTATGGGTTGGAATATTACCACAGCCAGTGCAGTTAAAGTTTAACAGGCGAAGCCACTGCACGGGCGGGTCGCCCCCCGTTCCCCCGTGGAGCTCTGCTGGGTCTTCCATGCATCGCCATTGCCCACAAGGTCCGGCTCTAACTGTTTTGCCGGATCTGCTGGTGCGAACAAAATACACGCTGCTATCCTCTGCGAGGAGCAGCCATTCTTTCCGGCCCTTGTGAAACCAGCGAAAGCAGAGTGCTTGGTGAAAAGTCCTGCCTTGGCTGGAGCCACAATTGGCTCTATGGGCCCAAGTTCGCTCTGCACTTGCCAGGCTGCTCGAGCAACTTACCTGGTCTTCCAAGGCTGGAGAAACTCCACAGCCGGCTGTAAGAGGACTCGCATAAGGGAAGAGTTCCCCAAGCCGGGCTGCTTCGCCCTCCAGTCGGGCCGTGCCTTCTTTCTGGCTCTCTGCAGAGCAAGTTGGGTGAGATGACTCCAACCCATCACTTGCTGGCAGTGAGGATCTCGACTGCACAGGTGCTCTGGACATGGCTCAAATAAAGGCTGTGAAAAAGCAGGCCTGGTACCCAAAGCAGTTAGGGGACTCGAGGCAGGTTCACACAGCTACCGCTCTGCTACCTGTGCACCCCACCGGGGTTGAGCCGAGATCTTGAGCCAGCCAACCAGGACTTTCGTCTGCACGCTGCTTGGCGTAGCCACCCGAAGGGGCTGAGGTTAGAGGGTGAAACATACAAACTACAAACTCTGCACAGTGAGACTACCGGTACTAGCCCTCACTTCCCTCAGACATTTGTCGAGGCCGAAATCCATTCCCTCAGACCGTGGTCGAGGCCGAAAGTCCCTCAGGCCATGCTGAGGCCGAAGTTCCCTCTCTTGCACCCCTCAGACCGAAGTCGAGGCCGAAACTCCTCAGCCAGCACGCCGAGGCGGTATTTTGATTCGGTTTTTTTGGTGCCTCTCTGACCACTATCCATGTTTCTTGTCTGGCTTGCGCTGCTCACTCATCAGCTTCGTCATACGGCATGCCCAGCGTGATTTTCTGGATCTCTGTTGCCGGAACCGAAAGTAGGGTTCCATCCCATCCTCGTTTTGCAATCCCGGCATCCAGCAAGTGCTGGGCAAATGGCCCGACATTGCCTACGCACGCCATCCAAAGCGCGCTGGCTTTGCCGTCGTACGTTCTGACCAATCCACGTATGGTTGCCAGTAGCTCCTCATCATACTTCTCCAGGAGGCGTACAAGGCCGCTTGATAGCTTGTATCTCTCCTCCTGCAGCATCGTCCACTCCGCCGTGTCAAAGAACACTGCCCGTGGTAACGATCCTGACATTGGGTCGCGCCCAACGTTGCTCACCGTGACATCCGATAGAGCAACTCCTTGCATGGTCAGCCATGACGTTATAGCCACCAGGTAAAACAGGGACTGTCTGAGGACCCCGGCTTCATGGCGATGTTCCTGCCCCCATGTGTTGAACAGCTCTGCCCTGCGGATGATACTTCCATAGAAGTAGTGGTGGCAGTAACCCTCCACCGCTTCGTCGAAAAGGACTCCAATCCATCCTGCCCACAGGGTCCTGGTGACCAGGGTGGGGAATTGTTCCCCATACCCTGCTTCGTTGCCAAAGCTCTGGGGTTCCATCGCCAGTTTCATGACCCATAGCCGATCCAGAGCATATCCTCTTCGAGTGCGCCCTGCACCCATGAAGGGAAGCACCCTAGGCTGTAAGCTTTGCCCTGTCGTTGGGTTGCGGACCAATTGGACCTCCCCAAGCCAATGGAGCGGTGTCCTTGGCCTTTGCTGGTTCTGCAGTTTGTGCACCAAAAGGTGCACAGGCTTGGCTTGCCCCATGGCTTCCTTTTTCTCATTTCCCTCAGCTTCCTGCGAGGCCATATTGTGGGCACCTGGCCCTTCCGCCAGCGTAACTGTTCGAGGCTCTCTTGCCTCTTGCTCTGTATTGACACCCTCAGCTTGGTGCGAGGCCGCGCTGTCTTCTCCTCTCTCCCGTAGGCGTACCGGACCCACCGGAGATTCCGAAGCACTCTCCTCTTCCCTATCCCAAGGCTGCTCCGGGTGTCTGGCCTGTCGAAGCGGGGAACGTTCTCGGGGCTGATCCTTCTGCTTGTTCTTGCTTTTGCCCTTGCCTTTGTCCGGCCGATTCCTTAACCAGGATGGCAGTCGGGACCCTTGTCTTCTCATCGTAGCATCCGTCTTCCATTGCCTCATTGCTACAGGCCCGCCTTGAAGGATGAGGACGCCGTTGTTTCACCCTCAGCTCTGCGAGGCCGAGGCCTCCTCTCTTACCCTCTGCGGTGTCGCAAGCACGCGGCACCGCGAGGCCGAGCTACACTCCCTCAGCAAAGCGAGGCCGTAAACACCAATCGCAATTCCCCGTTGCGAGGCCCTCACCCTCAGCTACGAGGCCGAAACCCTGTCTCCTTGCACCAAACGGCTGCGGAATTACTGCGTTCCCTCAGCTTGGCGAGGCCTAACAAACAATGACATCTTCTGCTGTGCGCTGGCTTGGGGCTTAGCTTTGGCGTGTTTCCCACCAAACTGAACGCGAGGCTGTTGAAACTGGACGTTGCTCATACTTCCACCATTGACAAGGGTTTGCGCTTGGGTAGCCAGCTTGCCCTGAGAAGTCCGCGATTTGCACTCCCCCGCCAGGCTTTTATTGCACTTCTGGCTGACCGGTGCATGTGTTCGGTCACACTTTGTGCAAACCCAACGGATTCCCAAATTCACCATATTATGGGAGGGGTGGATACCCCACTCTTCACGCACTCGCGCCTCCGGCTGGTTGACGCAGTACTGCTCCAAGACCACCTCCAAGTTCGTGAGGGTTTGTTGTACATACAACCCGCACAGTTGACATTTCAGTGTTAAATTCCGGGGGTGTTCGCTGCCCTTCTCCCATTGATGCCCGCGCTCCGGGTCTTTAAGCAACTGCCATAGCCGCTGGCGTTTGTTGAGTTTGGCGTTGCCCTGCGCTTTTTTGCATCCCTCAGCTTTCTGCGAGGCCTCCATCTTCTCTTTGTAATGCGCATGGTCCAGAATGAAGGGGAAGTCTTCTTCTTTGCGCTTCCTCAATATGTGGGCTGCGCGTGCACCGTACGCCAGGGAAAGTGTGCGCACCACATTGTCCAACTCTTTGACACGCCTCTTGTGCGCTGGGCTGTAAGCAGCCGCCGCTACTGCACCACATACTTTGTCTGCCATGTCATTCGCTGCACGTCGCCACAACGTGCCCGGCCCCATCTTCGCCAGGAATTCCTCTTCAGTTTTGTGGGACGGGACCCAGGTTGCCTTGATACGTTTCCTGTCATTCCACACTTTGCTCCATTCCAGGTCATCCTCCGGCGGTTGTGTTTTTTGTAGCACTTGGACTGCCGGCTTGCAATCCATAGTGACATCAATCAGATCCTCCGTGTGCTCCATTAGTCGGAAAAGTGCACGGCGCTCCATGTCCACCACCGGCTGCCACGGGTAGACCAGCTCTGTAATCCGTCCGGCTTCCTCCAGGACACCTTTTGTCCAGGACATAGCCACCACTGCGAGGGCTGATGTTTGTACACGTGGGTCTATTCCTCCTGGACCTCCACTTGCGTCAGTGGCGAAGATCAAGCCTTCCGCTTCCACTTTTGCATCTGCTGCAAAGCATCCTTGGTAACGTAGACCTAAAAGGTGTTCCGGCGGCTTCGGGTGCCACACCGCCAGCTTTGGCAGGAGTGCCCTTGTCCACAGACACTCCCATGGGTATTTGTGACGCAAGTATTCCTGGAGCTTGGGTTCTTTGAACCCTTGTTCACGCCAGTAAGGACATTCCTTGAGGACATGCTCCAGAGTTGCTGGCATTTGGCACTTCTTGCACCATCCTGGCTTGGACTCCGTGATGACGCCCGCGTGCCACACTGACTTTATACCTTCCATAAGGCCTGGGCTGAGGCCTCCCAGCTTCGTCAGCTTGTGATGCGGCGTCCAATCCAGCCCCTCTTGGGCACCAGCGCCACCTGCCTGTCGCGCTATCGCAGCCCGCTTCTGTTCCTCCAGGAATCCCTCAAGCCATTTGTAGGCGAGGCTACCCATGCGTGGCTGGGTCCAATCAACGTTGAGGACACTTCCTCTCTTCCATTTGCCTGGGTCACTGGCATCTACCTTCAGATCCAGTAAGTACGCCATGGTTGCTGCCATCGGCCCCGTGACCAGTGGCCAGTGGTGTTTGGCCGCACTCAACCTCTTCCAAGTGGTTTTCCAGGCCAAGTCAAAGTGGGCTTTTCCGCCACCGATCCATGCACGGAAAACTTTGGCCACCACTTTGAAATGCTGCTTGTGGATTGTGCGCTTTGGATCCTGGCATTTCTTGGCTCCCATGTCCAAGATGGTTTCCAAACTCCCAAGCTTGTATTTACCCAGGTGTTTTCCAACCACTGTTCGGAGCCATTTCATTCTTTTGGGTGAGACCCCCACAGAGGGGTGCCCCCACAGAGCAACTGATGTGATCGCTGCCTTGACCACGCGGAGTTTAGTGCTGGGCGGCGGCCCCAGCCTAGACAGTTTGCTATGTCTCGCATGGGCTTTCTTGGCCCGCGTTGCCGACGTCACCAAGCGACGCTTTCGCCCCCCTGTACTGTCGACGCCCAGGTCACGCATCACGTCGTACACCTGTGGCTCATGAGGCAGCAGGAGTTCACGCAGGTGCTTGCTCGCCTGGGTACTGCTGGCCACAAACCCTGTCTTCTTGGATGAAATCGTGAAACCATTAGCATCCATCCCGTCCTTTAAGCTGCGGTAGACTCGTATGGCACTATCCGCCACGTGTTTAAAGGACTTATGCTGGATGTCAATTGAGACATCATCCAACCAACAGTCCACGTTTGCCACATCTCGTCGCCTTTGGATCTTTTCTATCACCGGGTGCAATGCCACCTTTGCTAACGATGGCGCCGCTGGGCAACCCGCTTGCACGCCATTTGTAGCTCTGATGCCTGCCGATAGCACCCCATCCGCCACCAAGTATCTGGCACCCATGTACACTTCCAGTGCCATCTTCAGGATTAGCGGCGGATATTGCAGGGCCGTTGCTGCCATGATCAATTGCTGAAATTGGATGGTATCGAAAAAGGACTCGAGGTCCACAAAGAGTGACACCACATGCACTCCATTTGTCTTTGCCACCTCATTTCGCAGTAGTCTGCCTACGGCCACGTCCAAGCAGCAACTGCCTGGGACTGCCTTGTCGTACGTGGCAGTTGTGGCATAGCCTGCCTGCCAAGTACTTACCAAATCCCAGCGCAGACGGACCCAAGTCCTGTACAGGATGTGTAGCAAGGCGATTGGTCTTTCCCGGGTCAGATTCTTCGGCAGCATTGCTATAAGGGAGACTGTCATTTGCTGCGGCCATGCTGCCTTGGCCTCACATTCATGGTAGAAGGACACAACGGCTTCAACTGCTTTATCGTCCATGGCCTGCAAATGGTCAATCCTCCAGCCATCCGGCCCCGGGCTCTTTAGTGCCAGTTTTTTGATCCTTGCCTTGACCTCGACAGGGTTCAGCGGCTCCACGCTGGCCGCTTGTTTTTTGGCTGCATCCTCAAGCTCCGTCATGAGCGAGGCCGATTTTGCCAACGGTTGGCCCGTCGTCCACACTGCCGCCCAGTGGTCTCGGCGAATGTGTGGCCGTTCCAGCATGTCATATTCCATGTAGGGTCTGTGTACCACTTGTTCTTCTTTTCGCAAGGCATTGTATAATGGTCGCATGCCCTTTTCCATGGCCTTACTGAGCCATTGCTTGTACTGGTGGGCTGTCTCCTCCATATCCGCCTTTCTCGCGTAGCATTGCTGTTCGTCGATGCGCTTCAGAACAAGCCTAGCGTCCGTACCCCGGCCCAGGATACTCGCAAGCATATCCTCCTGGGTCTGCGCATCACCCTCGTAATACTCGCCGAGCCTGCGTTGGACCAGACGCGCCACCGGATGTGCATCGCCATGATGTCTGCCTTGTTTGACCCATTGTTGGACCCGGTTCCAAATGGCCGCCCTCTTGCCCGTCCAGACAACGTTCTCCGGGTTGTTGACCACCAATTTCTTCCGCACAATCTCCGATTTAACACCCATACCGTCGATTCGGCCTGTGATCGACCTCTCCACACCGGCACTCAGGTGAGCAAATGTCTCACTGAGCTCATCTACCATCTTGGGTTCATCCAAGATGTTGATGCTCTGTGTGTTTTGAACTGGTTCATATTCCACAGTCTCCGTCACCAGTGCTCCCGCCTTCTTCATCTGGGGAGCATCAGGGCTACTGCACGGTTGGGCCACCCTCCAATGCATTGCAGCATGAGGCCGAAAAGGGGTTTCCCAATCCGTTTTCACTTGCAGGATGGGCACCAAGCATTTCGCAACCAGCCCGTAATCGATTTCGTCCGATCCTTGGGCCGTTGGTTCCCCCACTCCAACAAATGCACCACCAACTTCTGTCGCCAGAGTTGTGCCCCTCATGGTATCCTGGGCTTCATTCCAATCACCCAGCACCATATATGGCACTTTGCAGCCCTTGAGAAAGGCTATCAGTCTCGCCAGTACTTGGATATTGTTTGGAGCCTGGAATCCGACCCCGCTCTCCAAATACAGACTGACGATGATCAAATCCCAGCCTTTATTTCTCATGGCACATGCCAGGAAGCCCGCCGGTCCTGTCCCATACTCAGTAAGGTATCGCAGGTTCCTATGTCGGGGTGCCACCACTGCCAGGCCTCCTTGTACACCCTTAGTTTTTGTACTGCCTGGCATGCCAATGAAGGTGTATCCCATATCTTGGCAATGGCTCATGGCTTGCTGGATACCCTCCGTCTTGAGATGGGTTTCCTGCAGCACCACCAGGTCCGGTCCTAGTTCGTGTATCCATGCCGCTATGGGTTTCCTCCAGCTGGTGATGTTGGCCGAGGTGATTTTGATGCATTCGGCCTTATCATCTTGGCGATACCCACTTGCCACATCTGCCAAGATCCACTTGGCATATTGTGCGTCCTGCTCCACAAAGGAACGAAGCACTTCGTGGCATGCTCGTTGTTGTAGCGGGTTGAGTTCCTGCTCTTCCAGTTTCTCAATGGCTTCGAGTGCGGCAGCCTCACTGGAAGCATCATATCTACCCACCACTTGACACAACATTTGCCACTCCTGTGGTAGATCCTTAGGTGGTGCTCTTGGGTGCGCTTTCCGTTTCTTGGGCTTTTGCTTCCTTTGGTGACCCTCAGCACTTTGCGAGGCCGACAACCTTGCTTCCTCAGCTTTCTGCGAGGCCTTTAGGCTATCCCCTCTTACCGCAGTTGGGTCTCCCATCTGTGTTTGGCTTCCCTCTGCTTTTTGCGAGGCCGAATTCACACATTCATCCTCATGGTCCGCACCTCCCAGACCGAAGTATCTGGGACCTGTGACCGCCCAACTGCTATCCACAGCACGGGCTGACTTTGGACCCCGCGTTACTGGACTCCAGCTCTCTTGGCTGTCTTCCACTGTGCTGTTTGTATTAGGCACTTGGGTACTACACACAGCTTGACTGCCTTCCCCATGTACCTGTGGCCATACAATGTCCCCGTGACACTGCTTTCGGCCACCGTCAAAAGAGAAATCAGAGTCTCCCCATTGAGACTCCTCTACTTGTCCTGCTTTCATATTTTGGCTGTTCGGACCAGGAGCTGCCCTGAGGTGTCGGCCCCTCCGCTCCTGTCCCAGCCTGAGGTTTCACTCGCCCTGGGCACGCGCCGGCGAGCGTTCGCGCCCCGTCGGCGTTGCCCTGACTGACACATCTCGAGACATGCGCATCGGCCCATATATGCCAAGTTCAACTGGCATGCTCGGCTCTCTTGGTCCCAAGACTCCCGTCCAGTCTGTCTCCACGACTTTGACTGCCATCCTTGTTTTGAGCGCCTCCGCTTGCTCCTCAGACAGGATGATCCCTTCCTTTTCCAGGTAGTCCGCGACGTCCTTGTATGGCGAGTCCTCTTCATCCTTCACACAGGCTTGGACCTTCTTCTGTGCTTCCGCTACCTCCAGCTCCGTGGCCTGGATGGCCTGGCTGACTTGCGCAAGCTGCTTCATGGCCTGCTCGAACTCGCTCTTTATCTTCTCCGTTTTGTCTTGAAGCCGGACCTTCTTCTCAATGAGCGTTCTCAGCTTGTTTGTCGTCCGTCTGTATGTACCAACATGGCGGCTGAGTTCCTGCTTTGGCGTCTCGTCCTCAGGCTTGTAGTCCCCCGGCGGGGGTATACCCGCCGCTCTGAGGAGCCTTTGCACTGCGGGCTCGGCTCCTTGCCACACAGTCTCAATGGCCGCATGGTACTCCTTCTGTGACATGCTTTCTGCCTGCGATCCATTGCCAGGTAATCCCGGGGGCCAAATTGGCCCCGGCTCCATCGTCCGCGGCTTCCATCCTGCTTCTTCGATGGCCTTCTTTGCCTCCATAGAAAGCGTACCCCACGCCTTCGTGAGGGCTTGGTCGGCCATCCCTTCTTTGTTCTTGGCAGGTCTTGTCCACCAAGTAGCGTCTTCCTTTGGCCATTGCCACTTCTTCCGCTGGCTTGACCATGCTCGCTCACGGTAAGTGGCCTTTTTCCACGCCTTTCCGCAATGCCAGCAGTTCGGGTTGTAGTACAAGTCTTCATTCCAGACCCAACCCACCTCGCAGTGGGCACACACAGTACAATGCTTCCCCATGACTGCTGCAGCCTGATGCCAGTCCCACCAGCACCTCAGCAATGCGAGGCCGGAAGATCCCCTCAACCGTAGTGAGGCCGAACTTTATGTGTCCTCAGCCGGAGCGAGGCCGAAACTTGGCCACTCCCTCTGCCGAAGCGAGGCCGAAAACACACCCTCTGCCGAAGCGAGGCCGAAAAGTTCCCTCAGCACTTGGCGAGGCCGTACTCAGGCAGCTATGTTGCTGGCAGCCGACTACCAAGCAAACACAATGGTTTCGGTTTGAGTCCTGTTGGAGCCCACCCTTAGGTACAGTCTCCAGGCAACAGCACTCCCTACCTGAGCACCCCACCGGGGTTGAGCCGAGACTTGAGCCAACCAGGACTTTCCGTCTGCACGCTGCGAGGCGTAGCCACCCGAAGGGGCCGTTGGTCAAGGTGAAACTAAACTAAAAATTACCTCGCTTGAGGTGTTGCGTTCTCAGCTAGGCCCTCTCTCAGCTGCAACCCTCAGCACTCGCGAGGCCGAACTTTGCCTTCCGCATGCATTGCTGTTGAGGCACTTGTTGTGGCATCAGCCTCCGTAAGTTTGGCAATCCCCACTCAGCACTGGATGTTCTGTTCGAGGCATATTTCCTCAGCGCATGCGAGGCCGCAAAGTGAAACACGTGAGGTATGAAAAACTGCTACTCCAGGTTCGTCCGCAGCTCCGGCTTTCTCGCACTTACTAACCGTGCCTTGCAGCCTCCCCCAAAGTAGCGTCACCCTGGCTTTCTCGCTCTTACTCACCAGTTGACCAATAATGCATCTCACGCGGTTGCTTCATGGTAAAACTGCAGCTCGAGGTCCCGGCGTTCTCGCTCTTACTAACCCGGACCGACACTGCAGAGAAGCATTGACTGTTGTTCCCTCAGCGGAGGCGAGGCCGAACAACCATTCCGCTGCATCAGCGCAGCCAGGCCCTCAGCTCCTCACTGAGCCAGGGCTCTCTTTAGACAGAGTTCCCCTGCTGGCAAGCCCTCTATCTCTTTGTGACCCCCGCGGTGCCACGTATAAGCAGCTGCACCGCGTGTCTTAGGACCACAGTTTTCATTCGGATTTGTTGTTGTAGGCCTTCCAGTGCTTGAGGCCGAATCCAAACACCACATCTCACGTCACAAGGCTGGCAATTTGGCTCCAACATCTGAAGATAGTAACACATACTCTGCGTGGCGTCCGCGTGAGCTAGCCTGTCCTTTCTTTAGGAGTTCGGCTCCTTTCATCGCTTGTCTTACCACAGGTCTCTTTCGGTGGCCCGTACTCAGCAGCCAGCACATGTACCATCCTCAGACGCCAGAGCCGCCTTGCCCCAGCAAGTGCCCATACAAACCACTCACCAGATAGTGAGAGCCAACATCTTCAAACAACCTCCAGCGGCCGTGCCGCGAGGACCTAAACATCTGCAAGGTTCCGCCTTGTCTGTGTGCACGGACAGACCCCAGCCCTTGCAGGAGACGTGGATGTAAACAAAAGCAGGCCTGCCATGTCCAGCAGGCTGATTACCATTGGTTGCCTTCAGATGGGAAAAGCGCGAAGATCGGGTAACCTCCATCTGAATCCTTTCCGGCCAATACCAACCCTTACAAACCCTCAGCACGGAGCGAGGCCGAAGGAGGCTTCTTGGACTATTGGTTTTCCGGGGAGCAGCCACCACCAGCTGCTCTTCAACTTGCACTGCGCCGCACCACAGTCCTACTGCAAGTTCCTTGGCAACGGTTTCTCAGTAGCACCAGTCAATGAGCTTTACGACACTGATGCCTCTGGTTATTTATGTCCAGGCAGATCCACCAGGGTTGGGCCAAATCTTTTCTACCTGATTCTACCTGCGAAGAAAATCCTGTTGTGCTCAGCTTGCAGATCCCCGAAAACCTGCAAGCTTGGGCTCGAGCACACCGCAATTGTTCGGGACACTCCTGTCGCCACTGCAAGGATGCCTCTTGCAGTGCGACGTTGGCCTGCACTGTCTGCAGCGTGCCTGGCCGTTTCCCCCCGTGTTTCGGTCTCACCTTCGTTTTCCACACAAGTGAGCGAGGAACCCAAACTCACCTTCAGCACAGCCCTCAATCCAAATGAGGGTCGGTGGGTTTTGCTCACCCAGAGACAGCAGGAATCTCTGGTGAGCAACAGGCTTGCGTCACCCCTCAAGCAATGCGAGGCTGCAACTCTCACTGTGACCCAGAGCAGACTGTAGGCCACAAGGTTCCCTCAGCAACGCGAGGACGAAAAGCTTCCCTCTAGCGAAGCGAGGCCGAAAACTGTGCACTCACGCCCTTCGTCGACGGCAGCAGTTGGCGGGCCGCCGCTCTATGACAGCTTAGCCGGTCAGCCGGCCTACGAGCAAACACAGTTTTGCCAGGGCCTCAAAACGGAACCTACCCTTAGTTACAAGCCCCAGGGCCAGCCACAACGGCACTAAAGACGCTCTCTACCTGAGCACCCCACCGGGGTTGAGCCGAAACCTTGAGCCAACCAGGACTTTCGTCTGCACGCTGCGAGGCGTAGCCACCCGAAGGGGCCGTTGGTCAGGGTGAAACTAAACTAAAAATTACCTCGCTTGAGGTGTTGCGTTCTCAGCTAGGCCCTCTCTCAGCTGCAACCCTCAGCACTCGCGAGGCCGAACTTTGCCCTCCGCATGCATTGCTGTTGAGGCACTTGTTGTGGCATCAGCCTCCGTAAGTTTGGCAATCCCCACTCAGCACTGGATGTTCTGTTCGAGGCATATTTCCTCAGCGCATGCGAGGCCGCAAAGTGAAACACGTGAGGTATGAAAAACTGCTACTCCAGGTTCGTCCGCAGCTCCGGCTTTCTCGCACTTACTAACCGTGCCTTGCAGCCTCCCCCAAAGTAGCGTCACCCTGGCTTTCTCGCTCTTACTCACCAGTTGACCAATATGCATCTCACGCGGTTGCTTCATGGTAAAACTGCAGCTCGAGGTCCCGGCGTTCTCGCTCTTACTAACCCGGACCGACACTGCAGAGAAGCATTGACTGTTGTTCCCTCAGCGGAGGCGAGGCCGAACAACCATTCCGCTGCATCAGCGCAGCCAGGCCCTCAGCTCCTCACTGAGCCAGGGCTCTCTTTAGACAGAGTTCCCTTGCTGGCAAGCCCTCTATCTCTATGTGACCCCCGCGGTGCCACGTATAAGCAGCTGCACCGCGTGTCTTAGGACCACAGTTTTCATTCGGATTTGTTGTTGTAGGCCTTCCAGTGCTTGAGGCCGAATCCAAACACCACATCTCACGTCACAAGGCTAGGCAATTTGGCTCCAACATCTGAAGATAGTGACACATACTCTGCGTGGCGTCCGCGTGAGCTAGCCTGTCCTAGAGTTTAGGAGTTCGGCTCCTTTCATCGCTTGTCTTACCACAGGTCTCTTTCGGTGGCCCGTACTCAGCAGCCAGCACATGTACCATCCTCAGACGCCAGAGCCGCCTTGCCCCAGCAAGTGCCCATACAAACCACTCACCAGATAGTGAGAGCCAACATCTTCAAACAACCTCCAGCGGCCGTGCCGCGAGGACCTAAACATCTGCAAGGTTCCGCCTTGTCTGTGTGCACGGACAGACCCCAGCCCTTGCAGGAGACGTGGATGTAAACAAAGCAGGCCTGCCATGTCCAGCAGGCTGATTACCATTGGTTGCCTTCAGATGGGAAAAGCGCGAAGATCGGGTAACCTCCATCTGAATCCTTTCCGGCCAATACCAACCCTTACAAACCCTCAGCACGGAGCGAGGCCGAAGGAGGCTTCTTGGACTATTGGTTTTCCGGGGAGCAGCCACCACCAGCTGCTCTTCAACTTGCACTGCGCCGCACCACAGTCCTACTGCAAGTTCCTTGGCAACGGTTTCTCAGTAGCACCAGTCAATGAGCTTTACGACACTGATGCCTCTGGTTATTTATGTCCAGGCAGATCCACCAGGGTTGGGCCAAATCTTTTCTACCTGATTCTACCTGCGAAGAAAATCCTGTTGTGCTCAGCTTGCAGATCCCCGAAAACCTGCAAGCTTGGGCTCGAGCACACCGCAATTGTTCGGGACACTCCTGTCGCCACTGCAAGGATGCCTCTTGCAGTGCGACGTTGGCCTGCACTGTCTGCAGCGTGCCTGGCCGTTTCCCCCCGTGTTTCGGTCTCACCTTCGTTTTCCACACAAGTGAGCGAGGAACCCAAACTCACCTTCAGCACAGCCCTCAATCCAAATGAGGGTCGGTGGGTTTTGCTCACCCAGAGACAGCAGGAATCTCTGGTGAGCAACAGGCTTGCGTCACCCCTCAAGCAATGCGAGGCTGCAACTCTCACTGTGACCCAGAGCAGACTGTAGGCCACAAGGTTCCCTCAGCAACGCGAGGACGAAAAGCTTCCCTCTAGCGAAGCGAGGCCGAAAACTGTGCACTCACGCCCTTCGTCGACGGCAGCAGTTGGCGGGCCGCCGCTCTATGACAGCTTAGCCGGTCAGCCGGCCTACGAGCAAACACAGTTTTGCCAGGCCTCAAAACGGAACCTACCCTTAGTTACAAGCCCCAGGGCCAGCCACAACGGCACTAAAGACGCTCTCTACCTGAGCACCCCACCGGGGTTGAGCCGAAACCTTGAGCCAGGTGAATTTTACTCCACGCAAGCACGAAGCGGCCGGAGGCCTTGAGTCCATTGGCTCTGTGTGAAACAGTCGGGTGAACACCTACCCTAAGAAAGTAAAAGGCCACTCACGCAGTAGCTGCAAGGAGTAGGCCTTGAGTCCAAGCTCAGAAGTGAGACAGTCGGGGTTACACCTACCCTACAGCTACAAGCTGCGCCACTCACTTCAGGCTGGCACCCATGCCTGAGGCCTGGTTACACCAAGGCCTAGCTGCACTTGGAACGCCCAAGCACGACTCACGGTAGCAGGCAATGACAGTCGGGGTTCAACAACCCGAGCATCTGCAACCACACACAGCAACAAGACAGGGCCCACGCCTTGAATGGTCTGGAGACCCCAAGACCTGACTGACAGCACCAAAAGCTTGGAAGGCCCAAGCTTATTGGTTAGCCAATGCAGCAAGGTGAGCCCAATCAGAAAGTCGGCCGTCCATGAGGACCATTTGGATTTCCAAGTTTGCCTTGAGCGCAGCGGGGAGACCTGCAATAATCTCGTTGAGGCAAGGGACCACCGCCTGCCTGCGGAGATACGGCTCCAGGGGCGTAACGTCACAGACACATCGAAGGGTCTCGACGAAGCTGCGCAAGCTATACTTGGGAATCCACCTTCCAGCATGAAGCCCTTCGAAGTGCCAATCCGCGAGGTCGAAAAAACACAACATGGGCGTCGCAGCACTGAGTCCTGGCTTAATTCCCAGGTTGGTTTTTGACACATCACGAAGAGCAAAATGACGGCTCAATTGCAAAAGGAGGGCGAAGGCATACAAGGACCACTGAGGGTGGATCTGGTTCCGAGAACCATAATCCGTGAGGAGCTCGATTTTTTCCACCATCGACCACGCCACCAAATGGGACCTGAACTCCCATGGGCGCCCAGAGAGCAGCACCTGCAGTGTCGTAGATCCAGCCCCAATGATGGTGGCTGCCACCTTAGGCAGCAAGGCCGAAATCGCCACCTCATCACCAAAGGCCTGCTTCGTCCCAACTTTCAAGACGTAGCCCCCACCAGCGTCATATCCGAATCTGGTTCTTCCATTGTGGATATACGCCGCAGTGCTGTCCCCCGTGTCATTGAACCACACGTGGATCAGGTCCTTGGGAAGGGCCTGGAAAACACCAGGATAGCCCAGATCGGATTTGAAAGCCACCAGTCCTGGCTTGGTATTGCGAGCCCTCTCAGCAATAGCAAAGGCTGCGCCCGCTTCTTGATCCATATCGTCAAAGTTCAACGGGGCAGGCAACATAGGCGCAGCTGGCGGTGCTGGAGGAGGCTCGGGATGCACAATGGGATCAGGCACCATTGGCTCCTCTTCGCTTTCTTCAGAGCAGCTGTCCTGGTCTGGGGCACCCAAAACCGGACCAGCCCCAGGTGCATGGGGATTCTCCCGAAGGACAATTCCAGGAGGTTCATCCCTCTCAGCCTGGTTTGCCACCACGGCTGGGGGGCGGTGCACAGGATTGTGCTGCTCGAGCTGAGGATTTTCCCGAAGCACAACTCCAGGATTCCTCCTCCCCTGAGCCTGGTTATCCACCAAGGGCTCAGGGGGTTGCACTTGTTGTGGCCCAGGCTCAGGGGCTTGCTCATCCTGCGGTTCCACCCTTCTCCGCCTGGGAGGCGGGGGGTTCACACCAGCAGGCGGCGCTCTCTTAGGAGCTGCACCTCTAAGCCGAGCTCTCTCTCGCTTGCCCGGCCGGGCTTTTGAGTAGGCCTTGGAGGCAGGGGATTTATGCTTCGGAGGCATACTCAGGAGGCAGTCTTAGCGGCAGCGTGCTAAAAGGCAATCTTAGCTTGCTTGAGCCCAGACTGCTTCGCTTTGGGTTTTGGCTTAGGCTTGGGAACAGAAATTTTAGGTGAAGGTTCCTGACTGGAGGACGACACAAAAAAGGCCCGAACACTTTGAACCCCAGTGTCAGTCACCTCCTTTGCTTTTTTGGAGCTAGCAGTAGCAACCTTACTTTTGGTGGGCCTGCAAGGCGCTACAATCCAGGTCGGGATTTTGCGGACACCAACTTTGACCATCTTGTCACACTTTGAGCAAACCCAAGACTTACCTAAATTAACCCACACATGATCAGGGTGGGGATCCCAAGGAGGAGGGTCCGCCTGAACACCTAGGCAAGGGTGCTTGATCTTAAGGGAAAAGGTAGGGAGGGGCTCAGTCTGCTGGATGTATAGCTCACACCTCGAGCACCGCGCTGAAAGGTTGGAAGGAAGCCTACAACCCTCTACCCAGGTGTGCCCCAAGTTCTGTGTACCAGCAAGAAGGCCTTCAATCTGTTCCCTTTTGTTAGGACCTTTGATTTTGGGGAGCTTAGAATTTTTCAGGACACCCGAATCCCTGACCCTGGGCTTTTGGCGGAGCTTTCGTTGCTCTTTGTCAGGCCACTGAACCAGCGGTCCTTGGTCCTTGTCATACGAAAGGAGAGCTGCAGCTCTCCTGGCCAGTAAGGTGTTAACCTGAATGGCAACTGCATCACGCTTTTTAATTTGGGATTCAAAGTTCAGGTCCCTACGAGCTTCGGCAGCCGTGCCAACAAGCTGGTCCACAATTTCGTTAGCACGTCGCCTCCAAAGCTGGTTAGCACCAAACTTTGCTCGGAATTGTTCTTCCGTTAAATGCGAGGATACCCAGTTAAGGCTGAGTCTCTGTGCATGCACTCGAATGGGGTCGAAGAGGTCGGCAGACTGGATGGAAGGTGTACCATTCACTCTGGGCAGGATGCCCTTGCAATCCAAGGTGAGGTCTGCGTTCCCTTCACTATGCTCAGCTACAAACTTGACAGCCGCTGCCTCCGCCCGGAACACCGATAGCGGAGATTGCAGTGAGCCGACAGCTGTCGCGATCGTGACGGGCTCATCCCCTTCAAGCTTAAAGGCAATCGCAGCCCAGGTATACCGATGGAACCTGGGGTCCTTGGATTTCCCCGGGGAGCCATCAGTAGCAAAGTATATCGCCTCGCCACAAATGACCTGGCCATCACACCAGGCACCAGTAGTTCGTACCCATTCCCCATCATCAGGGTAAGGCGAAGTCGGCAGAAGGCCCCTGGCCCAGAGTGACGAAATGGGCCACTCTTGCCGAAATCTAGGAAAGGAAGCCGGTTCCGGGAGGTTGGTTCGCCACCAGTCACACTCCCATAAGACATGTTGCATGGTAGCAGCACAGCCGCACCTCAGGCAAGTGGCACAAGGATCAGCACGAATTGCTCCTTGCCAAACAGCCATGAGTCCTGACCTCTCCTGGCCTGCCATCTTATTCCTAAGCTTTCTGAGGGGGGCCCAATCAATTCCCACACTCAGAGGTTCAAGCATGTCGTGCTGGGCTATACGTGCGAGCCTCCACCTATCTGTTTCCTTAGAAAGGGAGCAAAGGAGGTGGTGCATGCCTACCTTGGTGGTGACGCTGTGCGGTTGTTCAGGGCATTTCCAAGTGTCCGCACTGACCGGGGTCCAACCCAAGTCAAGCAGGTAACATAGGAGGGCCCCAACCGGCCCTGCAGCGCGCTTCCAGGGGTACTCCACCTGTGAGTATTCAAGCCACATACCCGGCAAGACATCATCAAAGTGCTGCCTTTGGCTATCGGGAATGAAGCCCAGAAGCCTGTGAATGGCCTTGAAATGCTGGGAAATGATAGTAAAGGCCGGGTCCGGCCGCTTAGGGCACGCATGGTCAATGGTGAGGTCAACCGAGCCCAAAGACATTCGCCCCAATTCATGTGCGAAGGAAGCACGCAACCAATGCATACGCTTTGGCGCAAGCCCAACTGCCTCATGGCCATAGAGGCCAACAGTTTGGACCCCCGCCCTCAGGGCTCTGACCCTAGCTGGCATCGATTTCACACGCAGGGTCGAGAGCCTAGCCTTGCGCTTAGGTGAATTTTACGTCTGCACGCTGCGAGGCGTAGCCACCCGAAGGGGCCGTTGGTCAAGGTGAAACTAAACTAAAAATTACCTCGCTTGAGGTGTTGCGTTCTCAGCTAGGCCCTCTCTCAGCTGCAACCCTCAGCACTCGCGAGGCCGAACTTTGCCCTCCGCATGCATTGCTGTTGAGGCACTTGTTGTGGCATCAGCCTCCGTAAGTTTGGCAATCCCCACTCAGCACTGGATGTTCTGTTCGAGGCATATTTCCTCAGCGCATGCGAGGCCGCAAAGTGAAACACGTGAGGTATGAAAAACTGCTACTCCAGGTTCGTCCGCAGCTCCGGCTTTCTCGCACTTACTAACCGTGCCTTGCAGCCTCCCCCAAAGTAGCGTCACCCTGGCTTTCTCGCTCTTCCTCACCAGTTGACCAATAATGCATCTCACGCGGTTGCTTCATGGTAAAACTGCAGCTCGAGGTCCCGGCGTTCTCGCTCTTACTAACCCGGACCGACACTGCAGAGAAGCATTGACTGTTGTTCCCTCATCGGAGGCGAGGCCGAACAACCATTCCGCTGCATCAGCGCAGCCAGGCCCTCAGCTCCTCACTGAGCCAGGGCTCTCTTTAGACAGAGTTCCCCTGCTGGCAAGCCCTCTATCTCTTTGTGACCCCCGCGGTGCCACGTATAAGCAGCTGCACCGCGTGTCTTAGGACCACAGTTTTCATTCGGATTTGTTGTTGTAGGCCTTCCAGTGCTTGAGGCCGAATCCAAACACCACATCTCACGTCACAAGGCTGGCAATTTGGCTCCAACATCTGAAGATAGTAACACATACTCTGCGTGGCGTCCGCGTGAGCTAGCCTGTCCTTTCTTTAGGAGTTCGGCTCCTTTCATCGCTTGTCTTACCACAGGTCTCTTTCGGTGGCCCGTACTCAGCAGCCAGCACATGTACCATCCTCAGACGCCAGAGCCGCCTTGCCCCAGCAAGTGCCCATACAAACCACTCACCAGATAGTGAGAGCCAACATCTTCAAACAACCTCCAGCGGCCGTGCCGCGAGGACCTAAACATCTGCAAGGTTCCGCCTTGTCTGTGTGCACGGACAGACCCCAGCCCTTGCAGGAGACGTGGATGTAAACAAAAGCAGGCCTGCCATGTCCAGCAGGCTGATTACCATTGGTTGCCTTCAGATGGGAAAAGCGCGAAGATCGGGTAACCTCCATCTGAATCCTTTCCGGCCAATACCAACCCTTACAAACCCTCAGCACGGAGCGAGGCCGAAGGAGGCTTCTTGGACTATTGGTTTTCCGGGGAGCAGCCACCACCAGCTGCTCTTCAACTTGCACTGCGCCGCACCACAGTCCTACTGCAAGTTCCTTGGCAACGGTTTCTCAGTAGCACCAGTCAATGAGCTTTACGACACTGATGCCTCTGGTTATTTATGTCCAGGCAGATCCACCAGGGTTGGGCCAAATCTTTTCTACCTGATTCTACCTGCGAAGAAAATCCTGTTGTGCTCAGCTTGCAGATCCCCGAAAACCTGCAAGCTTGGGCTCGAGCACACCGCAATTGTTCGGGACACTCCTGTCGCCACTGCAAGGATGCCTCTTGCAGTGCGACGTTGGCCTGCACTGTCTGCAGCGTGCCTGGCCGTTTCCCCCGTGTTTCGGTCTCACCTTCGTTTTCCACACAAGTGAGCGAGGAACCCAAACTCACCTTCAGCACAGCCCTCAATCCAAATGAGGGTCGGTGGGTTTTGCTCACCCAGAGACAGCAGGAATCTCTGGTGAGCAACAGGCTTGCGTCACCCCTCAAGCAATGCGAGGCTGCAACTCTCACTGTGACCCAGAGCAGACTGTAGGCCACAAGGTTCCCTCAGCAACGCGAGGACGAAAAGCTTCCCTCTAGCGAAGCGAGGCCGAAAACTGTGCACTCACGCCCTTCGTCGACGGCAGCAGTTGGCGGGCCGCCGCTCTATGACAGCTTAGCCGGTCAGCCGGCCTACGAGCAAACACAGTTTTGCCAGGCCTCAAAACGGAACCTACCCTTAGTTACAAGCCCCAGGGCCAGCCACAACGGCACTAAAGACGCTCTCTACCTGAGCACCCCACCGGGTTTGAGCCGAAACCTTGAGCCAGGTGAATTTTACGTCTGCACGCTGCGTCGCGTAGCCACCCGAAGGGGCCGTTGGTCAAAGTGAAACTAAACTAAAAATTACCTCGCTTGAGGTGTTGCGTTCTCAGCTAGGCCCTCTCTCAGCTGCAACCCTCAGCACTCGCGAGGCCGACTTTGCCCTCCGCATGCCTTGCTGTTGAGGCACTTGTTGTGGCATCAGCCTCCGTAAGTTTGGCAATCCCCACTCAGCACTGGATGTTCTGTTCGAGGCATATTCCCTCAGCGCATGCGAGGCCGCAAAGTGAAACACGTGAGGTATGAAAGACTGCTACTCCAGGTTCGTCCGCAGCTCCGGCTTTCTCGCACTTACTAACCGTGCCTTGCAGCCTCCCCCAAAGTAGCGTCACCCTGGCTTTCTCGCTCTTACTCACCAGTTGACCAATAATGCATCTCACGCGGTTGCTTCATGGTAAAACTGCAGCTCGAGGTCCCGGCGTTCTCGCTCTTACTAACCCGGACCGACACTGCAGAGAAGCATTACTGTTGTTCCCTCAGCGGAGGCGAGGCCGAACAACCATTCCGCTGCATCTGCGCAGCCAGGCCCTCAGCTCCTCACTGAGCCAGGGCTATCTCTAGACAGAGTTCCCTTGCTGGCAAGCCCTCTATCTCTATGTGACCCCCGCGGTGCCACGTATAAGCAGCTGCTCCGCGTGTCTTAGGACCACAGTTTTCATTCGGATTTGTTGTTGTAGGCCTTCCAGTGCTTGAGGCCGAATCCAAACACCACATCACACGTCACACGGCTAGGCAATTTGGCTCCAACATCTGAAGATAGTGACACATACTCTGCGTGGCGTCCGCGTGAGCTAGCCTGTCCTAGAGTTTAGGAGTTCGGCTCCTTTCATCGCTTGTCTTACCACAGGTCTCTTTCGGTGGCCCGTACTCAGCAGCCAGCACATGTACCATCCTCAGACGCCAGAGCCGCCTTGCCCCAGCAAGTGCCCATAAAACCACTCACCAGACAGTGAGAGCCAACATCTTCAAACAACCTCCAGCGGCCGTGCCGCGAGGACCTAAACATCTGCAAGGTTCCGCCTTGTCTGTGTGCACGGACAGACCCCAGCCCTTGCAGGAGACGTGGATGTAAACAAAAGCAGGCCTGCCATGTCCAGCAGGCTGATTACCATTGGTTGCCTTCAGATGGGAAAAGCGCGAAAATCGGGTAACCTCCATCTGAATCCTTTCCGGCCAATACCAACCCTTACAAACCCTCAGCACGGAGCGAGGCCGAAGGAGGCTTTCTTGGACTATTGGTTTTCCGGGGAGCAGCCACCAACAGCTGCTCTTCAACTTGCACTGCGCCGCACCACAGTCCTACTGCAAGTTCTTTGGCAACGGTTTCTCAGTAGCACCAGTCAATGAGCTTTACGACACTGATGCCTTTGGTTATTTGTGTCCAGGCAGATCCACCAGGGTTGGGCCAAATCTGTTCTACCTGATTCTACCTGCGAAGAATATCCAGTTGTGCTCAGCTTGCAGATCCCCGAAAACCAGCAAACTCGGGCTCAAGCACACCGCTATTGTTCGGGACACTCCTGTCAACAACTGCAAGGATGCCGCTTGCAGTGCGACGTTGGCCTGCACTGTCTGCAACGTGCCTTGGCCGTTTTCCCCCGTGTTTCGGTCTCACCTTCGTTCTCCACACAAACGAGCGAGGAACCCAAACTCACCCTAACACACAGCCCTCAATCCAAATGAGGGTCGGCGGGTTTTGTTCACCCAGAGACAGCAGGAATCTCTGGTGAGCAACAGGCTCTAGCGTCACCCCTCAAGCAAATCGAGGCTGCAACTCTCACTGTGACCCAGAGCAGACTGTAGGCCACAAGGTTCCCTCAGCAACGCGAGGACGAAAAGCTTCCCTCTAGCGAAGCGAGGCCGAAGAACTGTGCACTCGAACGTCCTTCGTCGTCGGCAGCAGTTGGCGGGCCGCCGCTCTATGACAGCTTAGCCGGTCAGCCGGCCTACGAGCAAACACAGTTTTGCCAGGGCCTCAAAACGGAACCTACCCTTAGTTACAAGCCCCAGGGCCAGCCACAACGGCACTAAAGACGCTCTCTACCTGAGCACCCCACCGGGGTTGAGCCGAAACCTTGAGCCAGGTGAATTTTACCACGCAAGCACGAAGCGGCCGGAGGCCTTGAGTCCATTGGCTCTGTGTGAAACAGTCGGGTGAACACCTACCCTAAGAAGGTAACAAGCCACTCACGCAGTAGCTGCAAGGAGTAGGCCTTGAGTCCAAGCTCAAAAGTGAGACAGTCGGGGTTACACCTACCCTACAGCTACAAGCTGCGCCACTCACTTCAGGCTGGCACCCATGCCTGAGGCCTGGTTACACCAAGGCCTAGCTGCACTTGGAACACCCAAGCACGCAGACTCACGGTAGCAGGCTATGACAGTCGGGGTTCAACAACCCAAGCATCTGCAATCACACACAGCAAACAAGACTGGGCCCACGCCTTGAATGGTCTGGAGACCCCAAGACCTGACTGACAACACCAAAAGCTTGGAAGGCCCAAGCTTATTGGTTGGCCAATGCAGCAAGGTGAGCCCAATCAGAAAGTCGGCCGTCCATGAGGACCATTTGGATTTCCAAGTTTGCCTTGAGCGCAGCGGGGAGACCTGCAATAATCTCGTTGAGGCAAGGGACCACCGCCTGCCTGCGGAGATACGGCTCCAATGGCGTAACGTCACAGACACATCGAAGGTTTTGACGAAGCTGCGCAAGCTATACTTGGGAATCCACCTTCCAGCATTAAGCCCTTCGAAGTGCCAATCCGCGAGATCGAAAAAACACAACATGGGCGTCGCAGCACTGAGTCCTGGCTTAATCCCCAGGTTGGTTTTTGACACATCACGAAGAGCAAAATGACGGCTCAATTGCAAAAGGAGGGCGAAGGCATACAAGGACCACTGAGGGTGGATCTGGTTCCGAGAACCATAATCCGTGAGGAGCTCGATTTTTTCCACCATCGACCACGCCACCAAATGGGACCTGAACTCCCATGGTCGCCCAGAGAGCAGCACCTGCAGTGTCGTAGATCCAGCCCCAATGATGGTGGCTGCCACCTTAGGCAGCAAGGCCGAAATCGCCACCTCATCTCCAAAGGCCTGCTTCGTCCCAACCTTCAAGACGTAGCCCCCACCAGCGTCATATCCGAATCTGGTTCTTCCATTGTGGATATACGCCGCAGTGCTGTCCCCCGTGTCATTGAACCACACGTGGATCAGGTCCTTGGGAAGGGCCTGGAAGACACCAGGATAGCCCAGATCGGATTTGAAAGCCACCAGTCCTGGCTTGGTATTGCGAGCCCTCTCAGCAATAGCAAAGGCTGCGCCCGCTTCTTGATCCATATAGTCAAAGTTCAACGGGGCAGGCAACATAGGCGCAGCTGGCGGTGCTGGAGGAGGCTCGGGATGCACAATGGGATCAGGCACCATTGGCTCCTCCTCGCTTTCTTCAGAGCAGCTGTCCTGGTCTGGGGCACCCAAAACCGGACCAGCCCCAGGTGCATGGGGATTCTCCCGAAGGACAATTCCAGGAGGTTCATCCCTCTCAGCCTGGTTTGCCACCACGGCTGGGGGGCGGTGCACAGGATTGTGCTGCTCGAGATGAGGATTTTCCCGAAGCACAACTCCAGGATTCCTCCTCCCCTGAGCCTGGTTATCCACCAAGGGCTCAGGGGGTTGCACGTGTTGTGGCCCGGGCTCAGGGGCTTGCTCATCCTGCGGCTCCACCCTTCTCCGCCTGGGAGGCGGCTTAGGAGCTGCACCTCTAAGCCGAGCTCTCTCTCGCTTGCCCGGCCGGGCTTTTGAGTAGGCCTTGGAGGCAGGGGATTTATGCTTCGGAGGCATACTCAGGAGGCAGTCTTAGCTTGGTTGTGTTCAGACTGCTTGAGCCAGGCACTTTCACGCTTGCCTGGCCGGCCTTTGAAGTATGCCTTGGAGGCAGGAGACTTATGGACAGGCAGCGTGCTAAAAGGCAATCTTAGCTTGCTTGAGCCCAGACTGCTTCGCTTTGGATTTTGGCTTAGGCTTGGGAACAGAAATTTTAGGTGAAGGTTCCTGACTGGAGGACGACACAAAAAAGGCCCGAACACTTTGAACCCCAGTGTCAGTCACCTCCTTTGCTTTTTTGGAGCTAGCAGTAGCAACCTTACTTTTGGTGGGCCTGCAAGGCGCTACAATCCAGGTCGGGATTTTGCGGACACCAACTTTGACCATCTTGTCACACTTTGAGCAAACCCAGGACTTACCTAAATTAACCCACACATGATCAGGGTGGGGATCCCAAGGAGGAGGGTCCGCCTGAACACCAAGGCAAGGGTGCTTGATCTTAAGGGAAAAGGTAGGGAGGGGCTCAGTCTGTTGGATGTATAGCTCACACCTCGAGCATCGCGCTGAAAGGTTGGAAGGAAGCCTACAACCCTCTACCCAGGTGTGCCCCAAGTTCTGTGTACCAGCAAGAAGGCCTTCAATCTGTTCCCTTTTGTTAGGACCTTTGATTTTGGGGAGCTTAGAATTTTTCAGGACACCCGAATCCCTGACCCTGGGCTTTTGGCGGAGCTTTCGTTGCTCTTTGTCAGGCCACTGAACCAGCGGTCCTTGGTCCTTGTCATACGAAAGGAGAGCTGCAGCTCTCCTGGCCAGTAAGGTGTTAACCTGAATGGCAACTGCATCACGCTTTTTAATTTGGGATTCAAAGTTCAGGTCCCTACGAGCTTCGGCAGCCGTGCCAACAAGCTGGTCCACAATTTCGTTAGCACGTCTCCTCCAAAGCTGGTTAGCACCAAACTTTGCTCGGAATTGTTCTTCCGTTAAATGCGAGGATACCCAGTTAAGGCTGAGTCTCTGTGCATGCAGTCGAATGGGGTCGAAGAGGTCGGCAGACTGGATGGAAGGTGTACCATTCACTCTGGGCAGGATGCCCTTGCAATCCAAGGTGAGGTCTGCGTTCCCTTCACTATGCTCAGCTACAAACTTGACAGCCGCTGCCTCCGCCCGGAACACCGATAGCGGAGATTGCAGTGAGCCGACAGCTGTCGCGATCGTGACGGGCTCATCCCCTTCAAGCTTAAAGGCAATCGCAGCCCAGGTATACCGATGGAACCTGGGGTCCTTGGATTTCCCCGGGGAGCCATCAGTAGCAAAGTATATCGCCTCGCCACAAATGACCTGGCCATCACACCAGGCACCAGTAGTTCGTACCCATTCCCCATCATCAGGGTAAGGCGAAATCGGCAGAAGGCCTCTGGCCCACAGTGACGAAATGGGCCACTCTTGCCGAAATCTAGGAAAGGAAGCCGGTTCCGGGAGGTTGGTTCGCCACCAGTCACACTCCCATAAGACATGTTGCATGGTAGCAGCACAGCCGCACCTCAGGCAAGTGGCACAAGGATCAGCACGAATTGCTCCTTGCCAAACAGCCATGAGTCCTGACCTCTCCTGGCCTGCCATCTTATTCCTAAGCTTTCTGAGGGGGGCCCAATCAATTCCCACACTCAGAGGTTCAAGCATGTCGTGCTGGGCTATACGTGCGAGCCTCCACCTATCTGTTTCCTTAGAAAGGGAGCAAAGGAGGTGGTGCATGCCTACTTTGGTGGTGACGCTGTGCGGTTGTTCAGGGCATTTCCAAGTGTCCGCACTGACCGGGGTCCAACCCAAGTCAAGCAGGTAACATAGGAGGGCCCCAACCGGCCCTGCAGCGCGCTTCCAGGGGTACTCCACCTGTGAGTATTCAAGCCACATACCCGGCAAGACATCATCAAAGTGCTGCCTTTGGCTATCGGGAATGAAGCCCAGAAGCCTGTGAATGGCCTTGAAGTGCTGGGAAATGATAGTAAAGGCCGGGTCCGGCCGCTTAGGGCACGCATGGTCAATGGTGAGGTCAACCGAGCCCAAAGACATTCGCCCCAATTCATGTGCGAAGGAAGCACGCAACCAATGCATACGCTTTGGCGCAAGCCCAACTGCCTCATGGCCATAGAGGCCCACAGTTTGGACCCCCGCCCTCAGGGCTCTGACCCTAGCTGGCATCGATTTCACACGCAGGGTCGAGAGCCTAGCCTTGCGCTTAACGCCCTTCCCAAACCTTTTACGGTGGAACGGAATGCGCCTTCTACGCCCAGCCGTACAATCAATCCCCAGGTCCTTCGCGGCATTCTTGATTTGATCAGATTCAGGAAGATACTCTTTAAGGGCAGCTTCAACTTTTGGAGACGAGCATACAAAAGCTGTCTTGCCCAGGCTGACTGGGAGGCCAGCAGCTGTCAAACCTCCTACCACAGCCTTATACAATTGCACCGCCCGGCGCGCTGCTGTGTGGGGGTTACCAGCCTCAGTGTCAAAGCTAGTGTCGTCAATGTAGAGATCAATGGTTTTGGCAAGGCCTGAAACCCATGCCGGGCGCAGGATCTCGTCAAAAGGGATCTTACTGAGACCAGGCGCAAATGGGCAGCCCGCAACTAAGCCCTTGGTGGGCTTGATCGGACCAGAGACACAGTGTTCAGCACTGATCAAGCGCTGAGCAGAGTATAGCGACATTGCTGCATTCAGGATCAACGGCGGAACTTTGAGGGAAAGGGCCTGATTGACGAAATTATCATGTCGGACATTTTCATAAAAGGCCTTTAAATCTAAAAGCACTGTCACTGAATGTCGCTTTTTCCGGTGGAGAATTTCATGCGACAGCTTACGGCGCAACGCAACATCAAGACTTGAAAGGCCCTTCTTTGCCCTGTCCCAATCCTGGGTGGCAGCATATTCCCGGAGCCATTTCTCAAAGACAGGCCAACGTATCTTTGCCCACAGTCGGTATGGGACTGGCGTCAGTCCAATTGGGCGCTCCTCATCCTCAGACTTGTTAATGAGTGCAACCAGAACAACCGAGAGCTGGGTCGGGAAGGCACCCTGACCCTCCCAGGTATTAAAGAATTGGGCCAATCTTTCAAGCTGCAAGGGGGCAAGACATTTAAGCATCTGGACACTCCACCCATCTGCACCAATAGCTTTAGTCGGCATTCGTTTGATCACCTTCGCCACCATTGGACCTGTTATGGGAGGAAGGGTTTTGGCTTGGCTTACAGAAGCATCCCTGAGGCAATCAAAATCAATATTGGGATTGACCTCATTGCCAGGCATGGGCTGCCACACGTCAGCCCAGTGAGCCCGCCTGATGTGCGGGCGAATTTCGAGTGGTATGTTTCTGTATGGCCTGTCCGGGATGGAGTCTTCAGACTTCAAAGCCTTGTACAGGCCTCGCATACCCCCTTTGCAAGCTTCTTCCAACCATTGCGAGTAAGCTTCATCACTCTTGCGCACCGCCTCTTTCAAGGCTGATCGCCCCTGCTGTGCGATAATCTCAAGTGCAAGGTGATGGCTTTGCATGTCAGGAGCACCTAGGAGGTCCTGCAAGGCCTGAGCAGTACAAGAGGCCATTTCAGACCAGAATTCAGGTATGCGATTCTTCGCCTCCACGAAGAGGGGGGTAATTCTAGGGTCAGGATTAGTGCCCAGGGCTTTAGAGGTCCAGGTGAGGAAGGATTGCCAAAAAGCCGGGCTCGACCCTTTCCAGAGTTTTTCCGGGCTGGTGGTCTTCACGAGTGGCGAGAAAGAGACCTCCAGCTTCCACCCTCTACCTGCCTGCACAGAGAAGAGTTGTTCTTCCACCCCAGCAGTGAATGAAGCCCATTCATAATCAATCGGTCGGGACCAATCCCAAAAGCCACCAAGTTGGACTTCCGGCATGGACAATTCGTCCGGGCAGAGGGCAGTGGGTTCCAGCGGGAAGCCCTTGAGCTGACGAACAGGCAGATCTGCAACCCCAACCCTGAGCTCCACCGTCACAGCGCAATGCGGTTTGAATGGGACATCCCAAGAGGACGAGACGGAGAGCAATGGGGCCATCCTCTTGGAGGCAACAGCATAATCCAAGGTGCCTCCAGTGTTAATGGTAGGACCACTAGGGGCGACAACCTGGCCCTTCACTTTATAAACAAACCCTAGGCGGAGCAATTCGGACGGGGAACAATTCCAGTCACCAAGCACCAGCCACTGGGTGCTGGTTTGGTCAAGGACCGCTGCCAGACGAGAAAGGATCTCCGGGTTGAGTCCACCAGTCGGGCCCACTCCTGACTGGAGATACAAGTTAACTAACAAGAGATCCCAGCCCTGAAATCGAATCGAAACAGAAACAAACCCCTTGCCTTCAGACATAAAGGCCGGGCCTGTGGCAGCATTGCGATGCGAGGGTGCAAGAGTGAGAAGTCCTCCTGAGCTTCCTCCCTGGGTCAGAGCGGCCGGCCCTACCCATGTTTGTCTGCCAACAGATTGGAATTTATTGACAAGGGCTTTAGTACCTGATTCAGGGACATGGGTTTCTTGCAAAAGCCAGATGGATTCATCACGGTCCAGCAACCAAGTACGCACTTCGCTTCGGTACGAAGTTATGTTGGCTTGACCTATGAGGAGGGACTTGGGACCAGGATTCTGTTTGCGGAAACCAGCCAGAACAGCCTCAATCGCCTCGATCACTCCAAGGGTGTCATCTTTAGACCGCTCCAGAAGTTGGCATATCCTATTCAAGGTCCAGCACTCCAAAGATCCTTGTTCGTACTGCTCTCCAAAGTCCTCAATCCATTGGAGCAGTTCAGCCTCCTTAGCCGGCATATCCATCACTGGTTTAGCCTCAAGAATATCAAGGAGACCCATCCATTCCTTGATTTTCTTCTGACGGGTCAACCGGGGATGAGATGTCGGGGTGCCAGTCTTCGGCCTTCTAGACCTGACCGAAGGCTCCACAGTTTCCAGCGAGGACACAACAGTATCTCCATCATCAAACAGGGATTGGGAAAAGAACAAAGGGCCCGTGGTCTTTAAGGGCACAGCCCTGCTTGCAGGAGATTTAACAGTCCGGACGGGTAACACCCAAGCCGGTTCTTCTAGGATAGGTGTTTCAGCGGTAAAGGTCGGAAGTGGCAATGCATGGAAAACGGCAGCGAGTGCACTCCCAATCGTACCATCACGAAGATGGCCTGTCACAAAAGGAGGGCCACCAGGGACCCTAAGTAGGTCAGATGCACATTCGTCCTGAGCAAGGAAGGTACAAACTGCCTCACACCAGTTTAAAAGATCGTGAGAAGACTTCAAGTCAACGGGAAGCAAATCCTCGCTCACTTGCAGCACCCACTTGTCAAACAGCACCTGACCTTGCGAAATCAAAACTGAGCACCAGTTGGCTTGGGAAGCAAGAAACGAACAAAGGGAAAAGGAGCCACCCAAAAGCCCAGGCGCAGTCGGAGAGTCAAGTTGCGCAGGTGTGTGGCCATAACACCGAGGTGGCGGGCCTGCAGCAATCCCAGCCTCCTCAGTTCGGCCCTTTTCCTACTTTTCAGATTCTCCGTCCTTTCCTTCCCTCTCCTTGGGGGAACGGCTTCTCTCATGCTTTTGATGGGGATTTTCAGCGGGGCCAAGCTTTTGTGGGGAGACCAGCGGCTTGGTTGGAGCCCCAGCACCCAGCATATCTCCTAGCCCAAGGCCTGGCGGAGATTCCATAGCCTCGGCTTTGCGGCGCTTGGATGCATGCTCGGCTTGAATGGCTTTCCAAGTAGCCTGCTGCTCCTGGGTCAGCTGGACACCAAGCTGACCCAACACAGCTTCCACATCCATAGGATCGGCTTCGTCGTCGGTCTTGAGGACTTTCTCGTGGTAGTCTCCCCCAACTTTTTCAACTTTCTGCTCAGCTTCCTTGATTTCCGCCTGCAAGTTTTGCATCTGCGAAAGCAATGCCGTGAATGCAGCCTTTGCATTGTCAATGCGTTGCTGCAAAAGCAGCTTCCTGTTGCCCAATTCCCTCAGCTTTCCCACTGCAGTCTTGAAAGCATCTTGGGTAGCAAGGGCAACTTCAAAAGGCTCAGGGTCCCTCTTGTCAAGCTCTGCCTTGATCTGGTCCGGCAAAGCATCCTTGTGCTGCTGCAACAGTTTGATCAGCGGATCTTCTTGTTCAGCGGGCTGCGATGGGGCCAACCCATTCTTTCGGAGCACACTCTGTACTGCATCAGGCAAGGAGTCCCAATGCTCACCAAGGACCTGGGCACCCTTAAAACCCTTGTGGGGCTGGGTTTTCCCAGGCTTGGTTGGCTTTGCAAAAACAGTCCGATTGGGGGACCATTGGGGCTGCCCAGGAGACGAGTCCTGGCTGTAGCTCACTTGCTGCAAGGGCCATGGCTGCCCACATCTGCAAAACGGACGGTGCTTGATTTTGTGGTTGTAAATCCAGGAGTCATTGCAGAACTGACAGACAGTGTAACTTCGAGAGCGTGGCATGACTGCAATTGACTCAAGAACAACACCACACCACGATTCACTGGGTTAGGCTGGGACACCCAAGCCTCACCACAAGTGTGTGGATTTGCCGAATCCCCTCTGCTGCTCAGATGCTATGGCTCGAGAGGCTCAACCTGGGATTTGAGGAAAGGCCTGTTACCCCACAGAGTTCAGGACAAAAGCCTCAGTTTCACAGAAAGCTCCCTACCACAACACAGGCAAAATGCCTTGAGCAGTAAAACTTGAGCCACAGGTGAATTTTACACACCCCCTCATGCACAGATGGTCCTTGGGTAGTTCCCTTCAGTCCTTTCTTTCCTCCTGCTTCAGGATCTTCTTTCCAATCCTGACAAGAGCCTTTCCAAGCTCTTCCGGGTAGGTCCCAGACTCCTTCAGAGACGCACTCTTCGAGTGTTCGTGGTTTCCTGCGCAAACGTACGAAGACAGTTCCCACACACAGGCAGCACTATTAGAAGCGAACCACCATCTCTTCCAAGTCTTCTCTTTCTTCTCGAAGCAGCATCTATCTACTAGACATCCTTGCGTTAGACCAATGCTTTTAGAGACTTCTAGAAATACCGTTTCCTTCCACAAAGAGGACCTTTCAGGCCATTCGTGGGTTAACAGCAAACCCTCGTTAGAGGCATAGGGGCCGAAGAGCTTCCCTATAAGTCTCCAGCAACTCTTGTGAATCTTTAGCGTCTTCCGCCAAAGTTCCAAACCTCGTCGCTTGCGGAAACGCAGGTACCTCAAGGGGCAGCCTGAGCTGCAAAGCGTAGACAAATGCGCAAAGACACGGACCTTTCCCTGCTTCAGGACTCTTAAGATCTCTTCAAGAACAAGAAAGGTGTTCTTACTCAGAAGATTGATTTCCCGAGTCACTCCGAAGTACGCTATGCCTTTCTCTCGAGCACACGCTCTCGCTATAGCACTCGACTCTTCGCAGCAAAGCTCCAGAACGACGAGCGACACTGTCCCTTTAGCCAACGCCGTCGCGGCTTCCATCCAGGAGCTCGGAACCTCCAGCGGAGAGGACCTTACTGCATTCGACGATACTTCCTTAGTGATATTGGGCTCATCTCTTACTTCTTCGACGTTTTCTTCGGAGATCGACGACCACGATTCTGGCTCGTTAATGAGGCCGCTTGCCTCACAAAGACTGACCAAGTTCTCCGCAGTTGGGGACTTCGTTAGAGCATCTGCGGGGTTGAGTTTCCCCGGTATATACTCCAGCGTCAATCTTTCCTTGGCGACTAGTTGTTGGAGAAAAACCGCTCTCAACTCAGTCAGCGCTGCTAGCTCGGCTTCTGCCGATGACAGAGCTACGGTCGTCTGTTTCCTACTGAACGTCTTCAAGCAACAATTGTTCCAGGTCACAATTCCACCACTCACAGAGTTCAAACCCCAAGACGCGTCAACAAAACACGACACTGACTCTCGGTCCTCATCAGGGGCTAAAAGCTCTCTACGTGAGGGGAACACTTGGACCTTATGCGGCAAACCAGACACCCATCTCAGAACATCTCTCATGCAAGCTTCGGCTGCTTCATTGGGGGTCTGATTGGTGTCTTCCTAGAAAACCGCATACATACTGCAAATCAGGTCTTGAAAGCGACGCCCAGGCTAGGCGTCCCAAGGTACGCCTATAGCGCTCGTGCGCCTCTGGCGTAAGAGGTGTGTCCTGTCCTTTCTTGATGAGGTCGGCATACCGCCGCTCTAATGGTGGAAGCTTCGGCGCCACCTTAGTGATTCCGTACTCCTCACAGCAAGACCTCAGGTACTTAGCGTCCAAGCCAAAGTATACGCAGGGCTCTCCGGTCTTCTTCCGGAAGATCCTACGTCCCAAGAAAGACACCTCACCTGGTTTTCCTTCCAAGAGCTCACCTGTTAGCTTAAGCTTGTAGCGTTTCTTCGGGTCTTCATACACCTTTCGAGCTTCGGCGGTGTTCTCGGCCCAAATTAACAGATCGTCAACATAAAAGAGGACAATCACCAAACCATTCTTGGTTTTCTTGCGGAAGATTGTAGGGTCCAAGATCTGCTGGAATCCTTGGTTTCCCAAGTACGCCGACAGCTCCTTGTACCAAGAAAGCGGGGCACTTCGAAGCCCGTTCATGGCACGAAACAGTTTCAAGAAGACCCTTTCGCCGGTCTTTGCGTTTCCTATGTTACTCGGAAGCTGCACAAACTCCGGCCGCGCAATAGCGGCGTGCATAAACGCTACCGACACGTCACAGGACAGCACAGACCCTTTTCTACAAAGAACGGAAAGTAGGAGCCGCAGCCCTTCCAGGCTGGTGGTAGGAGAATAGATCCCCTCAGCGAGCGTGGTGCCGCCCATAGCGGCAAAATCGCGGACAACAAGTCTAGAGCGGTAAAGACCCGGCTTCTTAACAGTATTGACCCAACGGCTCGAAAGAACTCTTCTTCCGCCCTCCTTAGCAAGTCGGTACGCTTCTCGCTCGCTCACAACTTCTCCTACGTTGAACGACTCCAATTCTTCTAGTTCCAGTTTTATGGACAGATAGAGGAGTTTGGGATCCAACAGCTCACCAGAGGTCTCTGACACGGCTTGTTGGGGAACCTGACAACAGATTCTACTCCCTCCAAACTTAAGCTCACAGGAAGACGCCGCTTGATTGCTCACAGCGCGGCAGTCAGGTCCTTCACCTAACTTCTGAAGATAATGATCCGTCAACCAATCAATCTCCATGTCCTCCATGTCAGGTTCAGGAAGATCGCCACCTGCTACCCCCTCATGACCTTCAGATCCCACTTCTGTGGGCTCGTAATCCGGGACATAATCAGGAAGCATTTCTTCATCCTCTGGGGCTTCAATTTCTTCTTCTTTCGGAACAATGGATTCTGGAGGCGGTTCAAAAAGCAAAGGCTTTTCGGGGTCCTGCGTATCAAGCACAAGAGGATTAGCTTTAGCTAACAGCTCTAACGTTGGGCTGTCGTACGTGGGTTCGTCCCGTTCAAAGATCCCACGACACGCTGGAAAGATCTCAATCTCTCCATCTCCTCCAACGACAGTTCCATACACACCTCCACCTCTAGGATGGACGGGGCCCAGATAGCTCACTCGAACCGTCTTGGCTCCCCGGAACTTTTCTAGATGTCGTTTGGAACCGCCAACTTTGGCCTGCGCAGAACAACCGAAGGGAAGCGTCCTAGTCCTTTGGACTATCTCCTCGTGCAACCTGTCTATTGCTGTGGTACTGTTGTTGCTGTCAAAGTTCCACAAGTTGAAACTGCGTGCAGCGTACAGCAAACAAGTCTGCCACAACATTCCACCTAAAGGTAACTGCCAAGCGGCACCACCTTCTTCAGCAGGTCGTCGACGCTTTATTTCCGCCTCCAGGTCGAGCCATATCGACCAAAATCCCTGCTTCATCGCAGAGACCTGCCTTTCCACAGCACCTTTAGACTGCGGACGGTATCCTGGCACAACATCTACAATCGTAGGGTTCTCGCGCCTCTGCGCCGCGACCCTCTCGCACATGGATATCAGACCCTGTTCGTTATCGCACCGAAACGTTAAAGTCTTTTGGTGCAATCCAATTTCGCGGATAAACCGATCGATATTGAATAACAAGTTCGGGTCGTGTAGTTCCATGGCGGGGATAGACATTGAGTACCGGGACGCAACATGTACAAGAAGAAGAACCCTCAGTTTCCCAAAATAATAGAAATCGACCCCAATGGTTTGATTTTCCTTCTGTAGCTGCCTCTTCAGTCTCCTGGCCGGGACTTTGCCTTTGCTAGAGCAGCAGCTTTCGCAGTTCACATCATAGGGAAAATGACCTCGGGATCGATGTACCTGGAGTGCATGGCTTCGCAAAGGAATCCTTTCTTCAATCTCCTCTCCTTGTGGAATTGGGGCTTCAGGAGGTTGTTCCGGGTTTTGTGGGGAACGATTCGGTTGGTTTGAGGAAGATGGTGGTTCACCATCATCACGGTCCAAGAGTAAGGGATCAGAGCCTGTGCCACTTCCTGGAAGGGGCAGCCCTCTGAGCATCCGCAGATGCCCAGTCAATGGCTGCTTTAAGCCTCCTTCCGGCACTCTCTCATCATTTCCCTTCAACACAAAGCATGCCACATCAAGACAACATGCCAAAACATGCCACACACGCCGCAAACAAGCCAACAACTTTAAGGTTTTGGGCTTTCCTCTAGTTGGGGCTTTTGGGCTTTTCCTACCAACCAACAAGATTCGTTCTACGCACACACGCTTAAAGCATTTTCGGGTGCGAATACGAATCCAACAAACTCCTTGTCGGGGCTTAATCCTCCTCATCCTAGGGGTTCTCGTGGAGTCTCTCTGAAACAGCTTTTCGAGCAATTTCCAAAGACCCGAAATAACGACCCCAACCAAGGCACTGAAGATCAGGATGAGGAACACCATCGCGTACTCAACGACCACTCCTATGAATTTAACCGGGAACGAGCACGTACCTGGACGCGCCGTCGCAAGTTTGAGAGGCCTAATCCCTGCTGGCCTTTCTCCGGAGGGTTTAGGCAGCAGTGAGAGGGGCCTAATCCCTGCTGTCCTCTCTCCGGAGGGTTTAGGAAGGAGTGAGAGAGGCCTAATCCCTGCTGGCGTTTCTCTGGAGGGTTGAGGAAGCAGTGAGAGGGGCCTAATCCCTGCTGTTGGCGTTTCTCCGGAGGGTTTAGGCAGCAGTGAGAGGGGCCTAATCCCTGCTGCTGGCGTTTCTCCGGAGGGTTTAGGAAGCAGTGAGAGGGGCCTAATCCCTGCTGCTGGCGTTTCTCCGGAGGGTTTAGGCAAGAGTAAGAGGGGCCTAATCCCCTCTACGCCCTCTGTGGCCAGATTTCCAAAGGGACGACACAGGTCGGCTATTTTTGAGGTCTCTTGGCCACTCCATCCCAAACAAATCA